TTTGTTTTTATAGAAAAGGAAACATATTAATGAAATATTCTTTAAAAAATGCACGCATTTAAAATTCTCCCAACTACAAGCCTATGGAAGAAAATTTTTAAAGATCCATGCCACTTATAGACCTTTGAAAAAACTACGCCTTTTCTGGGCCTGCGAACAATATTTAAAAAATCAACGCGCTTTCTAGGCCTGTAAAAAATAAAAAAATCAAGCGTTTTTTTACGCTGTGATAATTTGTTTTAAAAAAATAATTTTAAAAAATCGACGCCGTTTCAAGCCTTTAAAAAATATTTAGTATGCGTATGATTTATATTTAAGACACACACCAAATGAATCATACGCCACAAATTACTGACAATTTACATTTACTTTAATACTCATTCATTATTCAAAAAATCTTAAACATTAAAATAAACAAAAAAAGACTATACCGCATTTCATAATATTTACTTATTTCCCAGAAATCTGACAATTAAAAAATTAAATATTTTTCTTTGTGTTATTTAATCTTCCCTACGCTTGTAATGCGAGCTAACAACAACCAATCTCTATAATTACTAAAAATAAAGAATATCGAAAAACACAAAAAGAATGTCATTACATGTTCTTTACTTCTATTTTTGTCGCATTTTTGTTTGTTTAACAATGCCATATTTATAAAATAGTTTAGAACAGCAGTAAATGTTCGAAAAAAGACAAAGAAAATTAATTACACACAGCATTGCAATTGCAAGCATACAAGGAAGAAAACACCTGAACACAGCAATTTTTTTACTTTTATTTTTTTCTATTTTTTAAGAAAAAATTAAAACAATGTTGAATCAATGTTTGTTTGGTTCCGGCCACACAATAAACAATGAATGAATGAACGACCCCGATTGGTTAGTTGTAAAGAACTTTGCAATAAGTAAGCCAGAACAAATTGCTACATTTTCTTGGTGTTAATAAAACAAAAGGGGCGATCTGTGGAAAAAATCATTGTTAATGCACTATTGTGTTAGCTAGCAAGATTTCGTGTCATTTCGTTTTGGTTTGTAGTTTATTTTTAGTGTGTGTGTGTATGTGAGTACGTGTTATGTGCAATGGCAGGAAGTTTTTGTTTTCACTCGATTCCCGTTGTTACAAAAGGTAATGTGAACCCTAACTTTAGCTTAGCTTAGTTAAGTGAAAAATCTAATCAAGAACGTATAGAAAACGAACAACGAACCAAACTCAATTTGTATTTTTCTGAGCTTCTCTTACTTTTGATTTTATGTTTTTTCTAAGGGAAATTGCTATTGGAACTGATTGGATATTTTCTTTCTTATAAAAAAAAGTATATAAGAAAAAATGCTTTGCGAGTCTATTTTGCAATAGGGGCGTATGATTGTTGAACATAGTTTATATAAATGATTGGCGCCATGACAAAGGGCGAATTACTAGTAATTCTAATTATACTGGACCTGCACGTTTATCCGTATACATTTTAGCCCTAATAATTAATATCACACTGCAGATCGGTTTCATTGTGATATATTTTCAAATATTTGCAGTATATTTTGAACACCGGTGACGTATGATTATTATTTCCCCTCCAACAAAAATAAATCATACGCCATGGGAAACAGTATCATAACAAACAATACTATCTGATAACCCATTTTTATACCTTCTTTCTAGATCTATCATTACAATTATTTTCCCCTCAGTGTTTTTACAAAAGAAACAAAATCACACATACACACAACAACAAAACCCCAACATCATTTTACAACAATTGAAAGCAATTTATTGGCTGTTTGTGAAACTTCAATCTTTGTCGGGTAAATCGATTACCATGACTGGCGGGAAAATTTATATGTATAGAGAAAACGCATCTATATAGCATTGGCAATGCATTGAAGTGTGAGAGTGTGAGGGAGAGGCTGGAGCGAAAAAAAAACACCAAGATAATACAATTGCTATATAATGTCATATAACATCGTTAAATAAATTGATATGTGTTCGGATCCGAACTGAACGAAAAAGTTTAATGACACTGCAACAAACGTTGAATGTTACCAAGTATTTCTAAGCCATTTGGGGAATTGCACTTTACTAATGACACTTAAATAAAAAAAGATTGTATTGTGGATGCTGGTAATGATAAAAAATGTGGTTTATTAGAAAATAGATGTGGGAGGTCCTAAGGGAAATTGATGGTGATTTAAAAAGGAGATTTGTATTTCATACCAAATATTTTATAACGTGTATTGGAGAATTTTTCATAGAAAAGGAAACATATTAATGAAATATTCTTAAATAAATGCACGCATTTAAAATTCTCGCACCTACAAGCCTCTGGAAGAAAAATTGTAAAGGCGTAGCTTTTACGCCCTTTCTGGGCCTGCGAAAAAGATTTAAAAATTCAACGCGCTTTCCAGGCCTGTGAAAAATAAAAAAATCAAGCGTTTCAATTTAAAAAAATGGACACCGTTTTTAGGCCTGTAAAAATATTTTTAAACCAGTAAGGAATGTAGTAAAGTCGGACGGGGCCGACTATATGATACCCTTCGCCACTTTGGGTATATACAACAGATGGAATCCTAACAGATGTCGCATTTTTGAAGGACCATTAAACATGGAATTAAACATGCCATTCAGCAACCTATACTAAATTTTGGTCAGATATAGAGTTGCTTCTTATATTGGTATACAATTATGAAAATAAATTTAAAGCAAATTATTGAAATTTAAACTGATTTCATCGAAACTTGTCACAGTTAGGTTACGCTTATTTCAGCATGTTTTTTGCATTCGGCCACAAGTTGAGTTCTTCATTTACTTAAAAAACCAAATTTGGTGCACAACGAAGGATGTATAGGGATTTTGGTACATCATTTATCTTAAATCCGACGAAAATATATATGGGAACTATATCTAAATCTGAACCGATTTTCACCAAATTTAAGACACATCTTTCCAGACTTAATTCAGTACGCTATGCCAAATTTCGTGCAAATCGAAAGATATTTAGGGACTTTGGGGCACCATTTACATTAAATCGGACGTAAATATATATGGGAGCTATATCTAAATCTGGACCGATTTTCACGAAACTTAGCAGGTATCATTCTAGGCTCAATTAAGTGCGCTGTGCCAAATTTCGTGCAAATCTAAAGATATATAGGGACTTTGGTGCACCAGTGCACATTAAATCGAACGAAAATGTATATGGGAGCTCTATCTAAATTTGAACCGATTTTTCCCAATTTCAATAGGGTTCGTTCTTGGGTCAAGTAAATGAGCTGTGCAAAATTTCATTCAATTCGGATTATAAATTCGACCTGTACTTTGTTTACAATTTAACACCAACAGACGGACGGACGAACATGCATATATCGACTCAGAAAGTGATTCTATGCATATTCTCCAAAGGAACTATCTTGTTTCCATTTGCCTGTTACAAACATATGCTCAAAGACATAATACCCTGTACCTGTGTGGTGAAGGGTATAAAAATCCAGGCCTCTTAAAGCCTCTAAAAATATTCTTACAAAACCTTCGATTTTTTATTATGCTTGACAGAAATATTTTTAAAACCCGTGAGCGGAGCAGTATAATCGGACGGGGTCGACCATATAATACCCTACACAACTTCCACGAAAATCTAACTTTGCGTTATTTACACCCTCTTCAAACCTGACTAAAAGTCAACATATTTTACTAATACTCAGTAGACGAGGGCTGTACTTGTCCAGATTCTCTTTACCGTGGGTTCTGTTGTGATGTTGGGCTTTCAATTGTGGCCTATAGATCGACTCAAAAAAAAAAAACAAAATGTTAAGTTTTCGGTCCACTTCATCCCAAAATTATTATCTGATCGTCACCGAAAGTTTTAGGCTTTGTCCTTGACCATAACTGGAATATCATGGAAAGCGATCAGCGCTATATTTCCGCCCTCTAGTGTGGTTTTGGGTTACTAAATAATGTCTGAATACTTAAGCACCTGTAAATATTTAAGTGTAGCTCCCACATCTGAGTACATACGGCCATATAATTGGTATCAATTTAAAGGTCAACCACTCCTCTGGAACCTACTATCCCCTTCTCCATGCAAAAATTCGCGGTGTTTGAGCCATAATTGCGGCCTCTGGAACGACCAGAAAATCCGACAAAAATAAAGGTTTTGGTCCATTTCATCCCCTAAATATTAATCGATCTTTTCCAGAAACAATAGGGGTCTTCATTGGCCAGAACCCATTCTACATGCAAAATTTCGTGAAGATTGGTCCATAACTGTGGTCTGTATCGTGTTTACAAATTATAATGGGCAGACGGACGGACGGACACACATGTCTAGATAGACTCAGCTAGTCGAGATATGACGATCGGTATACTTAAAGGTAGGTCTAGGTCCAATATTTCGCGGCGTTACAAACTTTTGGAGCTGCACAAAGCTATAATACCCTGACAACATAGTTGTGTAGGGTATAAAAATCCACTCCTCTTCCAAACCTCAGAAAATTGTTTTGAAAGTCTGCTCCTAAAAAAATAGTTTTTAAAAATCAAACCTGGGTTTCCTTAAAAATTTGAGTTACTAAAGTGTTATCAAATTTTACATTTGAATTTAAATATAATACATATTTCCAATTATGAAACATTTCTTTCCCATAATCTCTTATTCAAAAAAAGTTATCCACAAAGAAATTGACAAAATAATTCTTAATAACCTAAATAAAATAAACCAATTCGTATATATATTCAGATCAAAAGAAATCCATAATTGTAATCTATAACACTCACGCACACTTACACGCGCGCAGACATCAGATACAAAAGTAATCATTTTCATCTTTTTTTCTGATACGACACGAATGAAAATAACAGATGGAAGAAAAGCAACAAAGCAACGATGTAGAAAAAAATAACAAAATCTAAAATGGATTCCATAAATCTGACTGACTGCATGTCGTCGTCGTAGCCGTCGACAGCGTCATCATCATGAACATTGTTATTGTATTTCATTTCTTTGTACTTACAGCGTATACGTAATGTCACCGGATTACTGGTGCCTTTGCCTTCAGAATTCACAGCCAGACAAGTGTAATCACCGGCAGATGCACGCGAAACGCTTTGCAGGACAAGTGATTGATCTGATAGGATAACGCCAGCTGATACATTGTGATGTAATTCTTTGCCCTGTTAATGGAAAGAAAAAAAGAGATAAAGAAAGAATGAGAAAAAATCGCATGAGAGAAACACATTGTTGAGTATATACGTTAATAATAAAAAACCAAACAACTCTGGAGCACACACACACACACACACCAACACACTGAAACGCATAAGCAGATATAAGAAATCATTGTTTAAATATTTGCTAGAAAGATGAAAATAGTGTTGGGAATACGAACAACGTCATGTCAATAGGGATCCGGAAAAGGGTAAAATACAATTATAACAACTTTTCAATTCCCAACAAGTATTGCTGCAAAGAGCTTTGCCAAGCCACTGCGCTACCACGAACAGTAGTAGTGGAAATGCAATGCTGATATTGAAAATGACATTGGAAATGAAAAAGAAACAAAACGAATGAGGGATCAACTTGTATAGAAGAAATCATTCATGTGCAATGTGAAAGATGAATGAGTGCAACAACGAACGTAACGCTATGACACGTAAAATAAATAAGGTCAAAAAAACGAAGAGCATGTAACGTAAGCTATAAGATAAACAGATAATAAATAAGAAAAATTTACAATTGATTCACGATGATAAAAAAGAGGTTATGGTATGAAACAGAGTAAAGGTAGGATTGAGTTCAAAATAAGAAGGGGAGATCGCCACGGCTAAGCCAAATAAATGAAAAGAAATAATTTTAAAGCAATAAAAAAATATGTACATTAAACTGCGCTCTACCCTAATATACTCTATGATTGTATGAAGGAACACTTGAAGCGTTACGTTTTATGAAGGTGGCTCTTGACCTTGTATAGTGAAATTGGAGTAAACAAAATAACCGAAAACAATGAACGCATGTAAAAACATTGTTTGCCTTTTTCAATGGTGCCTTATGCCAACAAAATAATAAAAACTCAAGACTTCTAAGAGGATATCAGAGATTTTTATTAATTATACCCTACGCCTCTTATATGCCTCTAAAAAATATTTATAAATAATCCACGCCTCTTATATGCCTCTAAAAAATATTTATAAATAATCCACGCCTCTTATATGCCTCTAAAAAATATTTATAAATAATCCACGCCTCTTATATGCCTCTAAAAAATATTTATAAATAATCCACGCCTCTTATATGCCTCTAAAAAATATTTATAAATAATCCACGCCTCTTATATGCCTCTAAAAAATATTTATAAATAATCCACGCCTCTTATATGCCTCTAAAAAATATTTATAAATAATCCACGCCTCTTATATGCCTCTAAAAAATATTTATAAATAATCCACGCCTCTTATATGCCTCTAAAAAATATTTATAAATAATCCACGCCTCTTATATGCCTCTAAAAAATATTTATAAATAATCCACGCCTCTTATATGCCTCTAAAAAATATTTATAAATAATCCACGCCTCTTATATGCCTCTAAAAATATTTATAAATAATCCACGCCTCTTATATGCCTCTAAAAATATTTATAAATAATCCACGCCTCTTATATGCCTCTAAAAAATATTTATAAATAATCCACGCCTCTTATATGCCTCTAAAAAATATTTATAAATAATCCACGCCTCTTATATGCCTCTAAAAAATATTTATAAATAATCCACGCCTCTTATATGCCTCTAACAAATATTTATAAATAATCCACGCCTCTTAAAAGTTTCTAAAAATATTTATAATAAAAAATCCACGCCTCTAAAAAATATTTTTAATTTTGTGCATATGACCTTACCAGCTTACATTTATTTATTATCCTTAACTTATGTCAATAGTCCTATCAACCTTTGTATGCTTTGACACTACGTATTAAATAATTATTTTCACAGGAAATCATTTGTTTATAAAGATAGGAAATTATTTTTTTAATTGGCATAAGATTTCGATTTTAATAGAAATTTGTTTAGTTTTTCTTTTCAGATATTTCGAAACCCTTTCAGGAATGAATATGAAAATGTGATACCTTTGAAATTATAATTGTCAATTAAAGAACATTTAATGTCTAACCTTTAATTCCAAAAATCCCAAAGAAAATACCAATATTCAATCCAATAAAGTTTACCTATGTCATTATACCAGTTTCTTTCTGGAATTCTGTAAAAGTTTTTAGGCATTTTAATTTGGGATTTGGAAACAGAACTGAAAATGTTACCCATACATAGGCATGTTGCTTAATTGCAAATGTTGGTTTATTGTTATAAAAAAATACCCTTAACCCAGGATTTATATCCAAAACAGAATATGAACAATTCCAAAGAAACGAAACAAAAAATTATACTTCACAATGTATGTGTGTTGGTATATATGATTCGGAATTGTAAATTGTATTTGAACTCGTTAAGAGAATGTAACTCAAATTGTACTGAAGACATTTAGAGTTAAATAACGGATTACCACATCACTAGATATTGCTGACACATGGAACTAAAAAAAAATTAAAGAATAGACATGAGTACGTCGACAAAAACGGAAGAGGAAGAAGAACAAACTGACAGTTTGAGAAAGACCGACATACAGCCATGCAGGCTGACATTCGAATGAATGTCTTCTTAAGCAACAGACAGATGGGAAAATTTCATTTAGCTTTGCTTTGTTTTTGTTCTGGCAGTAATAGCAGAGCATGTATTAAATGAAATTCGTAGAATTGAAAACACACAAAATCCCAATTCCAAGTCGAATAATGTTGGCTTATACAATTTTTTCGGTCTGTCGGTAATAACATGAAATAGAATATCCTTGTAATATTTTCAAACTTTTAAAAAAAGGGGTGTAGGAGGTATTGGAAATAATGAAGAATTTTTGTAAGGCTTTTTGTAACCAGTTTTTTGGGGTTAAGTGGTGGGGCCAATGAGCCTTATTTGATTTAGTTGGGGAGGTCCAGTACAGGTTGCATATCCTTAGAAAGTGGTATGTGTCCCTAGTGAGTCAAATTGCATATTAATATTGTGTTTATGAAATGCTTGACTATTTGAATCTTGAAGAGCAGAGATATGTGAAGTCACATTTAAAAATCAGTGAAGGATGAAAATCGGAAGGCATTGTAAATGTTTCCAATCGGAAATACGAAAATACGAAAATATTTGTCAAATCTATATCCATATCTGAACCGATTTTAATAAAATTTAGCATACGTCATTCTAGGCTCTATGCGTTATGTTATGCAAAATTTTGTGTAAATCGCAACAAAATAAGTTCTTTGGTGTCCCATTTACCTAAAATCGGATGAAAATATATGTTAGACATATATCCAAATAGGACCCGATGTGCACAAAAACTATTACTGCCCGTACCACACTCAATTTAGTAGGCTATGCCAAATTTCGCCTCAATAGGACTTTGGGTGTTTGGTGTACCATTTACATAAAATCTGACGAAACGATTAATGGATGTAATATATGAATCGGAACCGATGCCAATAAATATTTTTCACACATCATTCCAGACTCAGTACCGTAAACTGTGCAAAATTTCGCGTCCATCTGTCAGGCGTCCCCATTTACTTAAAATCGGATGAAAATATATGTGAGAGCTATATCCAAATCGGACACGATATGAATAAAATTTGATAGACCTCATACGAAAATCAACTCAGTAGGTCATCGCAAATTTAAACTCAATAAGACAAACATTGGATGTTTGGTACATCATTTACATAATTATAGGCTGGAACTACTAATTGCAGCTATATCGGAATCGGTTTCAATAAAAATTACCACATTTAATTCTAGGCTAAATTTGGTAGGCTGTGCAAAATTTAGTGCCAATCGGACAAATGTAGGATATTTGATGCACCACTTACTTTAAATCGGATGAAAATGCATGTGAGAGCTATATTCAAACTATATGCATAAAAATTCGTACACCTCATACCAGACACAATTTAGTAGGATATGCAAATTTCGTTCCAATAGCACAAACATTGGGTGTATGGTACACCATTTATTTTAAATCGGAAGAAATTACTAATGGGAACTATATGTAAATCGGAACTGATTTCAATAAAAATTACCACATCTCATTCTGGGCTCAATTTGTGCTAAATTTCGTGTCAATCAACGCTGTTCCAAAATTTCGTGTCAATCGGAAAAGTTTAGGATTGTTGGTGGACAATTAAAATCGGACAAAACTACTAATGGAAACTATATCTAAATCCGATCCGATGTCCAAAAAAATAAGAATATCTTATTCTATACCTAATTCGGCAGGCTGTGCGAAATTTTGAACATACTGAGCATTTTTGTTGAAAGATTTTTATGAAATCGGACGAAAATATATATGAGATTATATCTAGATCGAAACAGATAATAACAAAAACTAGCATCCTCATTCTAGACTCAATTCGGCACACTGTGTAAAATTGCGTGACAATGGGACTAACATAGATTATTTGGTGCACTATTTATATAAAATCGGACGAACATATATATGGGAGTTATATCTAATGCGGAATTGGCACAATTCGGCACCCTGTGTCAATTGGACCAACGTAGAGTCATTGGTGCACCATAAAATCGGAGTAGGGTATAAGTTAAAATCTACAAAGTTATTTAGTTCGCATTTAAAATATTGTAGAGAAGTGTGCCCTCCAGGCAACTTTATCCTACTTCGAGTTCTCTTTAATTCATATCTTATCCCTCACATGAAATTGATACTTAAGTATGCAGGTCCCTTATTCCTTGTCGAGCTTCTCTCCTTTATTTCAACAATTGTAAAAATCCTTACAAAGAATACATATCGTACGTCTTTTTGTTGTAGTTTTTAATTTCTTTACACAAGGACACACACACTCACTCACACACACCCATAAAGTGTTAAGTGCATCTTAAGCAAGATAAACTGTCAAATAGTTCATTTGTTTCGTTTTTTTTTTTTGTTTTTTATTTCCACCATATGTAAGTATGTATGTATGCCGACCAAAAAAGAAAACAGTTTGTCGTAGTACTTGGCAGGAAATAGTAAACCTTCTTCTTCGTCTTGTTACTACTACTGGTAATCAATCTTTTCAGGGATTTTGTTTTCATGTCATGTTCTTGCAGCAAACCACCCTCTCCCCTCTTTGAAAAATCATGTCTGTTGTAAAGTAATTTGTAAATGGTGCCAGGTTTTTTGCTTTTCTGGTTTAAATGGAGTCAGTCAACGTTCAATATATAAATGGAAATTTTCACTTCAAATCCAATTTGAGTTTTTTCCTCGTATTTTGCAGTAGTAATTACTGGCACACGTGTAAATTTTCTATTAAAAAATTGTTTGCTCCTTTTGGAGGTGGTTTCTTTACTGCTTTTGCCAGTCACTCATTCACTCACTCATTCGCTTAGTGTGTAAATCTATTAATTAAGTAAATGTAAACATCATTTTTGTTTGAAGCAAAAACATCCTACAACAACAACAATAAATAAAAAAAACACATTTAATGAGCCGGAAATTGTGGCTAACTGTTTGTGTGAAAAGTTTTGCCCTGATGTTTGGGTGTGTTGCACGGCTTTTAAAACGTTTATCTAGCCATGGACATTAATCCATTTAAGTTCTTTTTTTTGTTGTTGTTGTTTTGTGGCGGCCCTGGAGTTTCGTGGTTAACTGATAGTACTTACATTATGAAACCATGACATTTTATACGGTTTTGGATTCGACTGAATGACACACTCAAAATAGACATCGTCTCCCTCTTTAATGTCATCAGGATTAAGTGATGATCCCATTTTCAAATGTGCGGTGGGTTGATCTGAAAATGAAGGAAGAAAAAAAGAAATGGATAATTAACAAAACATGAGAAAAAGAGAGAGGTGTGTAAAGCGTTTTCTGTTTCTGTTACAAAATTATTTAATTATTTAAATTGCCAGATGTAAAGTAAGCATATATATTATATTTGAAATTTATGTTTTAATCTAGGGTTTAAGAAAAAACGTTCAGAATCTTTATACTGAAAATGCTGCAGAGGCAGTATTATTTTTAAAAATTAAAGTAAATTTGGTTCACAATTCTTTAACTGGAGAGGATCTTCTATACCACCCATAAATGACAATATTATTCTAGAAAAAAACTCGTAATGTATTCTGAAGTAATATATTATGATAATATCTATTTCTTCAGAAAAATAATTTTCTATAAAAGAAATACCAAACTGAGGTCTTCAGATAGTTTTTATAGACAAAATATCATCTAGAGGTATCTAACAGAAGACCTTCAAGAGGACTTCTATAAATTGAACGATTCAAAAGATCATCAATCCATAAGGTCACATTGACATGTTTTTAACAGAGGAGTAGGAGTTTAAAATATACCCTCCCCCATTTAAATGGCTTTTAACAGTGTCTAAACTAATAATTCTTTGAAAAATATTCTCTAAATGGGAGTTTAGTATTTTGTAAATAATCAGGTTCTAATCATTGCTTTAAAAATATTCTCTTTAAAATAAACCCTCTACCATGAGGTGGACATTAAAAAAATAAAATGGATCGGAATTTTTAAATGGGGGTTATGCCATGCCAAATTGTTGCCAGGAGAAATAGGAAACTACAGACACTCAGGTTGCAAAATTGGGCTAGACCTTAGATATGCCGAAAATGACGCGTAACCTTTGTATAGGGCCTATGTAAAACACGAAATAATATTGAAAATGTTCCGGAATTCCAAATTACAGTCACGTCGATATTTATAATTTTTGGTAGGAAGATTTATCGCCCAAGGATAACTCAGATCAAATCAAGGTGAATTCGGTTCGAAAACATATCTGCAATCCTCAAAATAATGAAGATTGAAGGATATCAATAATGGGGAATATACCCGACCGTGGACGGAAGATATACCACTCTAAATTGTCGTATTTCGAGTTCTGAGAATCAGAAAATAATTGAAGATAGGTGACTACGTCAAGAAAAAGTCACTGTTTGATTCTCTATTTGCTCCGAAGGTGTAATTGAACCATACTTTTTCGAGAACGACGATGAACGACTGTCACCGGAGCGTCAAGGTCATATGATAAGCAACTTATTTATCCCTGCTATTGAAGAATGCGACTTGGACAATATGTGGTTCAACAAAACTGTGTCACATGCCACACAACTCGAGCGAATATTTGCTGTTAGATACTGCTGATATAAAAATGGGACCAATATTGATAACTTTTTTTTTTAAGCTTCTCTAACCAATGATAACTCAAAATATTAAATTAAAGAGAAAACAGTTGAAAAAGTGCCCAAAGAATCGACTATTGGGAAATATGGCTATAGGGGGCTATTCCAAATTATAAACATATATATCACAATTTTAATACTAAAACATCCTAGGTGTAATAACAATGTATGTGTAGAATTATAAAGCTCTATCTAATATACAGGCGGACAGACAGATACGTTTTTAGAAAACGTTTTAAAATTGCATTGCATCTAATAGAATCTTCAGAAAAATTTTATAAAGCGTGGATTTTTAACCAAACACCTTAAAAAAATGATCTATACTAACACCCACATCAGACAGGTCTTTGAAAATCACAAAAATCAAAATTTTGATAGGTATTGGAAAAATATTTTTTTTCAAATCCACGCTCCTGATTGGCTTTTGAAAAAAATATGTTTATAGTCATTGCTGCCTATAGGCCTTTGATTTTTTTAATCTAATCTTCTTATAGGTATTTAAAAATACATGTTTTTTAAATAGATCCCTGAAACAATATAAAATATATACACAACGATTCTTATAATTATAAAAAAGTCCACCCTTCTGCTAGGGTTCAAAAACATTCCTTAAACAACCCACTCTTCTGATAGACTTCAAAAATACGTTATTAAAAAATCCACGCTTCTGATTGGCCTTTATCAAAGGGTCTTTAAAAAATCCACATTTCAGAATAAAAATAAACAAATATTATTTTGAAATCCTCGCTTCTGAAAGGTTTTCAACTAATATTCATTAAACAACCCACAACAACCTAATAGCTCTTTAAAAATTATTTTTAAAAATCCACGCCTCTAATATGAATTTCAAAAGAACATTTGCCCTTCGATAAATATTTCCATTGAAAATTATTTTCTTAGCCCTTGGCCATATTTTTACCAAGCTTTCTAGGCTTTCAAAACCCCTTTTTGATCATTATTGAAATTGAAATCCAATCCTTTTGATAAACCATGACAAATATTGTTTTTTTTTCAATAATCTGGACTTAGAGAAATATTTCGTAAAGAATACTTATTGATGGACCCTATCGTTTTTAAACAATTCAGTGTTTGGTAATACTTGAAAAAATACTTCGTAGGGAACTCAGGCTTTGTTGGTCAATAAAATATATATTTGTTAGCAACTCGTGCTTTGAAAGTCCTTGAAAAAATATTTTAGTCCCCAACTTAATATTTCTTTTTAGCTCTTTTTTAATAAACGATCAATAAACTTTTCACATTTTGGTAGTTCTTGAAAAATATATTTTAAGAGTTTCCAGTTGGATAGGCTTTTTAAATATATATATATATATATATTTTATTTTTTTTTTTTTGTTTTTAACCCAAAGTATGATAGTTCATTACAACATATTCGAAAGAACACATGAGTCAACGTTTTGAAAGTCCTTTGCTTTAACAATTTTACATTTTAATATCATTTGCTTCAAAATCCTTGTCTGTAACCCAGAATGTCTTCAAATTTAAATGTTTCTTTATATTCATTTCTCTTTCCCAAATGATTCAATCAACTTCAAAAAATCACTTCCCATTTTTTCCATTAGTGAACTATTTAGATAATTCATGAAATAAATGACAACTAATAAAAAAAATCTCCCCTTCGATCCACCATAAAAAATTGACAACATTAAAGTAATCTTCCCCTAAACATTGCTAACCAGCATTAAATGGAAACCATATCCTTCCTATCCTGTTTTTTTTTCTCTCTTTCAAGTCTTCTATAGAATATCAAATTATTTTCAAGACAATTCATCTTCATGCGCTTATCTGGTAAGTGTTAGATGAAGGGCTAGTTTACGTTTTATGATCCAAAGCAATGAAATCTTGATTGCTGTCTATCATGTCAATTGTTTGGCACTTTAAATGTTTTATTATCCAACCCCCCACTCCCGTTAATAAAACTTTTTGTCTATTTTCTTTCTGGTCAATGGTAAGTAAAGAAAATCGAAACGTAGTAGATTGTTTTTCGTTATCTTTGTCACTGTTGTTGTTGTTGTATTGGTCAAATTCAAATATTGCCAACAATGAGAAAACCTTTTTTCGGTTTTATGCAATAAACATGTGCTCAAGTTTTTTATGGCAAATTTATGGTCAAGCAGGCAAAAAAAAAGCAAACAATGAAAGGAGAAAAAAGAAAAGTAACTGAAATGGGTTCAAAATATGACAGGGAGGAGTGTGTATTGTAAAATCAGTATGTAATATACCGCAACGACAATCTAATGTTCATTGATATCTAGTCAAGGGAGAAAACAAAAGACGAAACGCCAATGGAAAAATCTGATGTGATTTTTTCTTTCCAGCCTCAGGAGAGTTTCCCTACCCAATTATAGTTTCTATTGGTTTATAGGTTTTTTTATGGTTTAACTAGTTTCAAAAGTGGTTTCCAATTTTTTCTTCTCATGTTTTGTTTCCATATTTTTGTGTGTGAAAAAAGGATTCAAGATTTTCTTTGACCACATTCATGTTTTTTATCTAGTTTCTTGAGTTTTTTTCTTCCTTTGTTTTATTTAACACCCACGGGCGAAATATAAGACTTCTTGAAGGTGGTCCGAAAGCATAAAACTTTTGTAAATATTTGACAATTTAACTGGTCGTATAGTTTTTTTACAATGTCATAAAGTATCAGTGTGTAAACTGCAGAGATTGAGGTAAAGCGTTTGATGAGACGGGGTTTTCTTTGGTGTGACAGGAATTTTAAGGTGAAAATAAGAAAGAACACCTGATAAATGTTTTTTTTATGAGGAGCTCTTCGAATGTTATTAAGAAACAGAAAATTTGCTTCAGAAAGATTTTCCAAAAATATTCACCTTTGTGTTTCAGGCTTCAATAGACCGATCAAAAATATCTATAAAAATCCAGACTATCAAAACATTTTAAAATTTGTCAAGTAATGAAAATCTTTTGAAAATATTTTTTTAAATACATACTCTTATAGCCTACAATAATATTAAAAATACTGGTACTTTGAAAAAAAACTTGATATTTTTAAGGCTCTAAAAAATTCTTTCAACAAAAGGCATTTCACAGTAAAAAACGCTTTTAGAACGCTTTAATAAATACACGCTTTTGACAGGACATTAAAAATCCACACTTTGGACAGGACACTAAAAATCAAAGCCTTTAAGAGGTCTTTAAAAGTCTATGCCTTTGACAGCCTTCTGAAAATCCTCGCTTCTCAGAGGCTATTAAAAATCCCATAGGCCTTTAAAAAATGCACGGTTTTGAAAGGCCTTTACAAAATCCACACCTTTGAGAGTCTTTTAAAAAATGCACGATTTTGAAAGGCCTTACAAAATCCACACCTTTGACAGTCTTTTAAAAAATCCACGCCCTTGGGAGATCTTTAAAAAATCCACATCTTTGAAAAGCCTTTAAAAATCCCCTGCTTTTAAAGGCCTTTAAAAAATTCACGCATTTGAATGGCCTTTAAAAACTCCACAACATTGATAGACCTTAAAAAATTCCCCCCTTTGAGAAGCATATCAAAATCTACGCCTTTGAGAGGCTTTCTAAAACCTTTGAAGCATTCATGCATTTACGAGGCCTTAAAAAT